AAGAGACAGAAAAGGGAACACAGAGACACAGAAGGCTGTGGGACGACGGAGACAGAACTGGAGGGATGCAGCCACAAGCTAAGGAACCCCTGGAGCCCCCAGGAGCTGGAGGAGGCAGGTAGGATCCTCCCCTGGAGTTTCTAGAGGGAATGTGGCCCTACTGACACCTTAATCTTGGACTTCGGGCTTCCAGAACAGTGACAGAATACATTTCTGATGTTTTAAGGCACTCACTACTGGTCATTTGTTATGGCAGCCCTAGAAAGCGAATGGAAATATTTGGGGCAAGTAGGAGAGAAACTGAGTTTTCTCCTACTCCCTTTCAAGAGACCTAACAGAGGAGGCTGACAGAAAACACCGGGATAGCGTGACCTGGCCACTGGCCTCCATCCTTACTGGTCTTTCTTCCTTGTATGCAGAGGATCTCTTCACTCTCCCTTATGACCCCCATATCTTCCTTTCTTTCAGCTTCTTTTTTTCCTCCAACCTCAGAAACAACAATGAAAATATAGAAAAATCCCATCAGTAAGCTACATTGCTCCAAAAGCATGTATTTTCCTGAGGAAAGGTCATCCACTAATAACATGCAGAATTCTTATTTTTTTACACAGCAAATTTATGAAATGATAGATCTATTACCCTAAATGTTGTACACTGTGCTTGGTTAAGAGTCATCTTAAAAAGATTGAGAAGCACCAGCATATACATTCATATCACTGGATGACAAAAGGTTTCCTAGATATTCTGGCTTCACATGACCAGCATCAACTACAGGGCATGTGACATTATGGGGTGGGAAGGAGGGGAAGAAGTTTTATAAATGACCACTTCTTCTTTTGAGGTGTGCAATATAGTATGGGTTATGAGTAATGCGGCCTTTTAAGACTTTAAAAAAATCCATATCAACACTGGAAAAAGTGAGTTGACAATAATATTGGTTTTGAGATAATGTCCTTCCTCCTGGTTCATCACATTCTCTTTGAATACAAGTATCCTAATGCTTCACATATATATAGCAGCCTAAGCATATAAATGAGATAGTTTCTTAAGTAATTCAAGAAACTTGGATACTGAACAAATATCATAAAGAATGAGGGTGTTAGCTAGGCACAGAGGGGATGAAAGCAAAGACTGGAAATGGCATGGCAATGTGCAGAGAATTGCTCCTACAGATAAGTCAGGGAGTGGAAAAATCTGATCATCTTGTCTTAACTGATAATCTCATGAATGAGTAAGACTGTGCATACATACTGAAAAAAGTTAAAAAAAAAACCCCTCAAAGTATCAGCTTGGTTGGAAAGTTACAGGATATAGCAATCTTTTTTGTAATAGCCAACAGTGGGAACAAACCAAATTTCCATCAATGGATGAATGGATAAACAAAATATAGTATATCCATGTAATGGAATATTCTTCTATCATGAAAAAGGAATGAAGCCCTGACACATACTACATCGTGGATGGACCTTGAGAACATGATTCTGAGTGAAAAGAAGCCAGGCACAAAAGGCCACTTTATATGATTCTATTTATAGGAAATGTACACAATAGGTAAATCCATAGACAGAGCCAATTAGTGGTTGCTTAGGGGATGGGTGGGGGTGTATAGGGGGAAGATGGGGATGAAAAATAAAGGGTATGGAGTTTCCTCTAGAGGTGGTGAAAATGTTCTAAAACTGACTGTGATGGTGACTGTATATCTTTGACTATTGTAAAAACCATTGAATTGTATACTTTATTATTCTTTATTTTGAATTATATACTTTAAATGGGTGAGTTGTATGGTATATGAACTGTATCTCAATAAAGCTTTTTTTAAAAAACTGTAGGAGTACTTACCAGGTGAAAGTCTAGTGGTCATTCATTAATGAGTCCTATCTGTGGACATTGGGAGTTCAAAGAAATTGTTCTAGAAATTTCTTTATTCCCTTTAGAGAATATTCAGCCTTGGTTGTTCTAGAAGCATAGGCCCTTGCTTTGTTTGCTTTTGAATGTGTAAAGAGTGTTAGAAAAAAAAAACTTTACCTGTTTATAAAAGGTTTATGGCATGTCTTAGCTTTTGTGATTCCCCATTGAGATCATATAGTGTGATAGACACTGGACTCAGATGTGCAGATACACTATGGGTTTAACTCATCCACAGATCTCAAGTGGGAAAGGGAAGGAAAAGAAATCAGAATGGAGGACAAGATATTTGTTTGTGCTTTGTTTGCATTTTTTTCTTCAAGACTATTGTTGAGGTCTCCCATAGGAACAGCAAACATTAAAGGGACTGATGACTCAGTTATCAAGGATGTGGAGCAATCTGTTCTCATGCACGGCTGGTGGGAGTATAGATTGGTAGATTGGCAATACCTGCCAAAGAACTTCCACTCCTGGAAATATACCTAACATAAATGGGAGCTCAGGTCCACCAAAGACATGTGTAAGAATGTTCGCAACAGCTGTATTTGTAATTGTCAAAACTGGCAGTAACCCAAATATCTATCAGTCGTGAACTGGATAAATTATGGCATATTAATACGATAGGCTACTCAACAATTTTTTTAGGTTTCTACTGACCGAATAAATATTTAGGAGTATGTATTCAAAAGTTTTTACTGAGCGGCATGCCGTAAACAGTTGGGGGACCACTGATCTACCACACCCAAACACTAGCATTGAGCAACAAAGAACCTGTTGGTTACCCCCAAGCACAGCTGTACGTTTACTTGGCTGCTCCCATCAGAGACGTGACCGCAGTTGTCTAATTCTTCTAGTCTAAACTTGGCAAAACTACCCAAAGAGGGTTTCAGTGTGTTTATATAAACACAGCAAATGGATTCCAAATCTCTGGGTCCCAGAAGGAACAGAAAGACTGAGTATCTTACACCTTGTTGGGCCAGGTTTTCTATCTGGGAGAAGTGGAGAACACCTTCTTGTAAAATTCTCTACTCCAAGTAGTCGAAGGAGTGAAAAATTTAGCCACCTCATTCAAAGCAAGAGATGACGAAGGAAGGTGCATGAGTCATGAAAATCATGGTGCTTTCATCTGATTGTTGCTAACTTCCCCCATTTTTCCCCTGTAATGTTGTGACATCACTTGTTCATGTGATCATGCAACATTCAAGGAGGGAACTCTACCCAGAAAATGAGTAGCTAAAAATTAATTTATTTCATGCATATTTACCAAGAGTCTACAACATGAGGCACTGTTCTAGGGTTAGGGAACAAAATTATGGACAGTGAGACAATCAGCGAACAAGTCCACCAAGATAACAGGATGGTATGGAGAAGTAGGTATGCTAATGCCATAGCAAGTGATGGGGTGGGGAGGTGCCTTTTGTTGGACTGGTGGGGAAGGCTGATCAAAGGGGAGAGTGGGAGACACAGAGGCATGAAAGGGAGGTGGGGGCAAGACCACGCAGGACCTCCTAAGCCACAGTATGGATGGGCAGGCAGCACTGAGCTGTAACTGAAATCCAGCTTTTCAACCCAATGCTTTGTTTTATTTATTTATTTTTGTTCTTTTCCCCAGTGCTTTTTGTAAATGTGACCCTCTTCAGGGGCTGCCTTTCTGCAGATCTACTTGAGTAGCTCTACAAAAGGAGAGCCTTTGTATAAGGCAGCTTCTTAGAGTGGAATTTGAAAAGGTACCTGTGTGCCTCAGTTGGCACTTGGGTTTTCTGCTAAGTGAAACTGGGAGCCAGTGAAAAGTGTGAGGCAGGGCAATAAGGAGAGGTGGCTTATATTTAAATACACAGGCAAGCAGCAGACTCACAGAACCCAAGAATGGACTAACAGTTACCAGAGGGAAAGGGACTGGGGAGGACAGGTGGGGAGGGATAAGGGGAATAAGGGGCATTACGATTAGCACACATAATGGGGGGTGGGGCACGGGGAGGGCTGTACAACACAGAGAAGACAAGTAGTGATTCTATAGCATCTTACTATGCTGATGGACAGTGACTGTAATGGGGTATGTGGGGGGGACTTAGTAAGTGGGGGAATCTAGTAACCACAGTGTTGCTCATGTAATTGTATATTAATGATACAAAAAAAATACACAGGCAACAGTATGGAGAATGGCTGCTTGGAGAGAGAAGTAGAATAATAAAAATAACAAGCCTAATAACAAGCAAGATCCTGGCTAACTGGATATTTGAACTTCAAATGAACTTCTCTTAAAATAAGTTCAAATATATTTATGTTTCAAAAATTATTTCTCTGGCATAGCAAAGGGTAACCCTTTGCCTATTAGAACTTTATTCTGAACAATGAAACCAGCATTAAGACTGGGAAAGAATTTTTTAGCGGAGCTTGTCAATTAGGCATGAAGATTCATGTTCATTTGTTACATTCTAGTGCAACCACTTGACCCCTTCCACTCCTTGCACTTTTATGCCCAAGAACACAATTACTGGCTCTACTTGTGATTTCAGCCTTATCATTTTCTTAAGGTTCAATCACATAAATATCAAAGAAACACAAAGATAAATAGTGAGACACCATTTTCACCTATCATTTTAGCAACAAGTTTTTAAAAGTAACAGTGCTGGCCATTGGGGAGTTTGCAGTAAAGCAGACCTTCATCTGTTGCTGGTGGGAATGCGCATTGCTTAAGACCCTTTGGAACAGAGGCAGTTTGGCAATTTGCACCTACAGCCTTTAACATGTTCTTCATTTCCTTTGAACTGGTAAATTGGTTCCTGGAAATGTATCTTAAGGAAGTAACTCCAAATATGGAAAAAGCTTTGTGAAAATTATTGGTGTAGTCCAAAGGTCCAGAATAAAGCAAGTGAATGACTATTTAAACCCCCTCCAACTAGGTTTTACAAATGAGTTTAAGGCTTTGAGAAGTTATGTAACTAGTCCAGGATCACACAGCTATCAAGTGTGATAGAGCCAGAATTTGGGTCCAGAGTTGTTTCTTCAAAACCTGTATTTTTAATCATGATGCTATGCTATTTTCTGTACAGAAATAATGTTTCTTCTCAACTGGTAAAACAAAGGCAAACTAATTCTAGTTTATCAAATTCAGTTTATTCAAGTTATTCATGAGTATGGCAAAAGCGGAGTAGGAGACGTAGCGAATGTTTTGTGTACTGAGTAGCATCTGTGGCTTTTAACTCCACGCCACCCTTCCAGGCTGGCCTCTGTACTGTTGAGGGCTTATAGCCTGCAGACTACATCTCCCAGACTCCTTGCCAGATGGCTTCCTGTTCAGTTCTGTCACTTCTTGGTACTGCCATGGAAATTAGAAGGTTGGAAAAAGCAGAGAGCTGCATCTTTTCCCCTTTGGTGGTGGCCTGCCAGCGGCCATGGTGGTTTGCAGCAGAGGCAAATGGGCTGGTGGCTCCAACCCAGGGGCAGTGGCAGCTTCTTGCTCTTGGCTTGCAGCCCCTTCCTCCCCTACTGCCTGCCCTCTAACAGGCCCTTTCTTCTCCCTTCTGCCTTTCAGACCTTTAACACTTTTCTAACCAATTTCTGGTATCCAGTCCTCTCTGCTTGAAGTATTTAGAGTGGTTCCTGCTTTTCTGGCTGAATACTGACTGATAACATGCTGCCACAAAAATTATATACCTATTTGCTAGAATTACATTAAAAAGATTGATATTCTTTAATACATGTCAAATAAATAGGATATAAGTAGTTGTTTTTCTTGTGGGGGAAGAAAAATATTTTTGCATCTTGTTTCTTTCACACAGGGTGCAAAAAAAGTTGATAGTATCTATAGGTGATACAAGTACTAGCAAAGAAAAGATTTATTAACTCAAGAATGAGCTCTTTATGGGACAGTCATAGTACTGTGAAACGGCTTTGTTATGATCACTTAACAATAGTTGTAACACATAGACTGCACAATCTTAAAACTGTAAAAAATATGGTCAGTTAATAGCAGACTTGAAACTTCCTCTTGTTCTTCTTGAAACATGGTTTGATGATCTATTATGATCCACTAAGAAACACCTAAATGGGAAGAAACACAGTATTTTTATGAGTGTCATTTAGTTTTTTAAGTAGAAAATGGTCTGATAAGAAAGGGGAACCCTCCTATACTGTTTGTGGAAATGTAAATTAGTTCAACGATTATGGAAAGCAATATGGGGGTTCCTCAAAAAACTAAAAATAGAAATACCATTTGACCCAGTCATTCCACTCCTAGGAATTTACCCAAAGAAAACAAGATCCCAGATACAAAAAGACATATGCACCCCTATGTTTATTGCTGCATTATTTACAAGAGCCTAGAAATGGAAGCCACCTAAGTGTCCATCAGTAGATGGATGAATGGATAAAGAATTGGTACATATACACATGGAATATTATTCAGCCATAAGAAGAAAACAAATCCTACCATTTGCAACAACATGGATGGAGCTAGAGGATATTATGCTCAGTGAAATAAGCCAGGAGGAAAAAGACAAGTACCAAATGATTTCACTCATTTGTAGAGTATAACAACAAAGCAAAACTGAAGGAACAAAGCAGCAGCAGATTCACAGACTCCAAGAAGGGACTAGTGGTTACCAAAGGGAAAGGTGGCTGGAGAGGGAGGGAGAAGGGGATTAAGGGGCATTATAATTAGCACATACAATATAGGTAGGTCACGAGGAAGGCAGTACAGCAAGGATAAAATAAGTAATGACTCTACAGCCTGATAGACAGTGACTGCAATGGGGTGGGGTGGGGTACTTGATAATACGGGTGAATGTTGAAGTCATAATGTTGTTCATGTGAAAACTTCGTAAGATTGTACACCAATGGTACCTTAATTTAAAAAAAAAAGGTCTGACAAACTATGGAACTTAAGACCTAATTAATTATATTGCTAAAAATCCACATATAAAATTATTTGGCATTTTAGACAGGTATGACTGGAGAAAAACAGACACATTTTAAGGGCCACACATTTGCCCCCTGAATCAATAACCCCCATTTTTGAAAAAAGTAATCTTATGCCATTGAGTATAATAGACTGGAAGTGAACAAGGTAAGTTATTAAGGGAAGTTAAAAAAAAATGTAGATTTATTTTAATAAGCCTGATCTGGACCAAAGGAGGAAAACCCTACCATAACTTAATTAGGTTTTCTAAAACTGCTCAAACATGATCAAAGTAAAAACTGTTACATTTAAATTCAGAGTAGGAATCAAAGTAATTTATATGCTTATGCTGCATATGGAAACATTTGGAAGGATGTAAGTGTTAACAGTGATCCTACCTCTGGGAAGTGAGATGTCAAGAGATTAGTTTTCTATTTTTTTTGGTCTTGACAATTTTTTTTTCTATAGTGAACTTACATGTCTTAGGTAATTAAAAAAGTAGAATAAATAAAAGCAATTAACACCCAAGCACAACATGAATCAATGTCTTCGGAAATCTGTTTTTTTCACTTTCTTCCATATGAGAAACAAGACTTTATGAGAAATTGTAAAGGTGGAAGGCCCAGGAGAGACCATGTGGCCCAGATCTGAAGACTAGGCTGCATGGGTTCATGGCTGGCCTGAGGCCACACTGTAGCTCAGGGGCAGAGCCCAGAGGAGAACCACAGTCTCTTGATTTTTGGTCTAGGGCTCACTTACACAAAAACTAAAACATAAAATGTATGCAGTCACACATAAAAAGACATTTAACACCATCCAGAACATGAGAACAATTGGTTCAGTTTCAAGATCCTAGAAATAGAAATGGCATCAGCTTAGAGTCTGAGTAACTCTGGGCCAGCTTTACCTTCAGAATTTCGCAGGGAGCAGCATCTGGTGACACTGGCTTCCCATGATGCTTTGAGTATTCAGTTATAAAGGCTGAAGCTTCATCAAAACTATGGAATCAGAAAGAAAAGAGAGGGGCATGAGGAAACTTGGGGTGATAAACATTTACTATCTTGATTGTGCTGATGGTTTCACAGGTATACACATTTATTTAAAATTTTTCCAATTGCACATTTCAAATATGTACAAATTATATGTCTTGATGGTACCTCAAAAATTAATAATTGTTCAGAAATGACAATATGTAATTATGGTTAGATCACAAGTGCTACATGAGCAGAAGGAAATCCATGGTGTACTGATGAGAAACGGACACCTCCTGACTGACCAGCACAGTTAGGCCAAATGTAGGGATGGACACAGCAAGTATTGCAATCCTGAATCTAAACTTTCAATCCCAGAAAATTACATAAACAAGCTTAGCAGAAATTATGTTACATAAAAAGGTTAGGGGTTGAATTCATTCTCGGTTCTTGCCCGCTGCAACAAAGAATTGAAGGGCAGAGACACAATAGCAAAGCAGAGCAGAAGTTTTATTTGAATGCACTCCAGGGAGGGAGGAGCAGGCCAGAGTCAAGGTAGACAAAACAGGTTTACTTGGATAAAGCAGAGATGAAGGAAAAACAGAGAAAAGGGACGCTTATTGAACTCCTGCTCAGTCCTGGGAGTGGTAACTCCTAAAAGCCAAGGTCACCTGGTGTCTAGTGTCCACTTGACTCTGCTCGGCATGGGAACTAAGTCCCTACCATCTCAGGATTTTGGGGAGCCGCAGAGCACTGGATGGAGTAAGATAATATTCTGAGAACTTCCCAAAGGCAAAGAAAGGAGATTTTCAGGCAGGCTACGAAAGAACATGATCATACAGCTGCAATTCCGTCCGGATCACCCAGGTGATGGGAACTTGCAAGCTCAAATCAGAGCTCTCAGTAGCCCCTCCCTACATATCTGAAGTAGTACAGTGAGAGTGAAGATTTGTGCTTAAAGTCTGGAAAATATAATGAAATAGCAAAGTGACAAAGATACCACTGGAAGAGCACAGAGACAAAACATAGAAAGTTGAGCAGTAAGAAGTCTTTTAAAAATACAGACTCATAGAAAGGGGAGTGTGGACAACCTCAGAGAGGAAGTGTGCTTAAGGGTATAGGGTCTGCAGTTTTAAAGGGCTTTTTAGGTAGAAGTCAGCATTGGGCATGATGTATACAGGTGATTTACAATTCCTTTTAAGTTTTGTCTTAAGAATAGGGTTACTCAGGAGACTGTGTTGGTTCAGATCTCAGTATTCTTGGTCCCCATTGGTTTATTTATACTTTGGAGGTCTTTCTCCTGATCTGGCTACAAAGTTACTTGGTTACAAAGTTACCTGATTGAAGGGGCTGAAAGAAGAGGGAAAATGGAATATAGGTAAGCTGGGCCTTTTTGCAGGCTAAGTATATTTTACAATGGCATGATATAATTGGTACAATGAAGACTGGATGTGCTTGGATACTTTCCTTTATCTGGGGAATATCTGGACATTCCAAGTCACTCCTGGCCTTTGGAACTTCAACTAATTAACTCAGTAACTCTGTGAATCCTTTCTGGTTCTCTGGTTTTAACTGGTTAACTCTTTAAGTTCCTTTTAGTGGGCTTTACTGGCTTTATTCTCTCTACCCTGCTCCCGTCTATTTTTCTGCCTAACAGAACTACCAACTCTCTAAGCCCATGTCTAAGAAATAAGACTGTATGTAATTTACAGTTTTAGAGCAGGACTGTGAGACACCTATTGTGGGGGTTCTTGTCTGATTCTAAGTTCATGTTCCTAGGGATTGGATTACAAAACAACTAACTTTTGGGTATACGCAGTAATGCTACAGCTTAATATTTAGAGCCTTTAATTATAGTGAAATAGGTCTGCAATCGTTTGATATTTTTTTCCAAAATAAAGATAAATTTCAAGGAAATTCTACAGTAAGTTTTTTTAAAAACTAACTTACCTTAACTCATTTGCCAAATAGTTTACTAGGTCAGTGATGTTGTTGGCATTCATCATGTGAGATTTCAACACTTGAAAGTATTTTGTCTTTGCCAAAATCCCAAACTCCTTCTTATTTATGATATTATTCAGAATCAGATTTCTAATCTATAGAATGACAGGTATCATTATATTAAAAACGTGTCATGTTCTTATTCAATACCAAAACATTTCTGACTATCAGAAGTTAAATTATGACAAAACCTCTTTTTGAGAGGGTGGGGAAGGGGGCCCACTTTGGCCCTTTCGGTCTACAGTAAGTCAATGCAAGGTACTTGGTTAAGTATTTAGGGACTTTTTATGAGGAAATCTGTTTACAATGGCAAGCAATTAAGGCTACAGATTTTCCACTGAGCACAGCAGCAAATACCACAGCAAAATGTGTTCCTCCCTCTTAAAAAATTTACTAAGGTTTTAATAAAAACAAAACAATTTTATATATGAACAGAGTAGTTTTCAGCTTCATCTTGAATTGGGGAAAATTATTACCTTGTAATATAAAATTTTTCACAGCAAAAAGTAGATAATATTGCCTCTTACTTGATGTGAAAATCCTGCCAATTGGCCAGTATTCATATGCTCTTCTAATTGCCGTAAAATGACTTCAGGATTGCATGAGCCCAGAAAATTCTAGAGAAAATAAGCAAAACAAAATTAATGGAAAAGCATTACTACTAATTTGTGTCAAATCTGAAAGGTTTACATTTTTTAATCTGAAATATTTTAAGGAATTTCTATTACAGTAAAAACACTTCTATCAGATAACAAAAAATTATTGAAATAAGAAAAAGACATTTTACAAATACCTATTCTAATAGCGAGAGCTGTTTAACAAACATTCTGTCATTCTAAGTGTCAAAAGGAATCTATTTAAATACCAAAACTTCAAAAAGCATCATGAGATGAGTTTATGAATAGTCAAAAAAAGAACAAAGTCAAAGACAAGCACAGATGGCTTTGAAAAAATGTAATGAATAGACCAAATGACAAAAAATATGCGCGTTCATTTATACAGGTTTTGGTCTACTGGCTTACCTACCTTGGGATATAACTAAAATAATCCCAAATGCTTTGTTCTATTTATTCTATATTATAAAGGGAACGTTATTTATAAAAGGCTCTCAAAATGCTTGAGACCCCTTTGTATCCACACACCATCCTGACTCTTCCCCTGCCCTCTTCCACATCCCATCACTAAGCCAAACTGCCTTCCTCCCAGCCTTCTCCATTTTCACTGCAGCACCCTACTTTGGGGACTCATCCACAGGCTGCTGTACAAGGATCAAGTGAGATAAAACCCTATTCTAACAAGAACTTCCCAAGGGTTTCCCTTCTTGCCTCCTCTCTCCTCTGATGCAGCCCACATGGATTATTCTTTCTGAAATACTGCCTGATCATTTCAATTTAGTCTTCCAGGAAAATCAACTGTTCTGATAAAGAATAAGGTTCAAACCCCTCCAAACTCTCTGTCAGATGGCCCTTATTAGCCTATTTTTCCATCCTACCTCCACACAAATCTTCCACCCCACCCATACTGAGGTTTTCCAGGTTTGGTGAAAAGAAAATGCAACTTTTTGCAGGGCACATGCAATACGAGACCTTCCGTTTCTTTGTTAATATTGCCTCTTACTTGATGTGAAAATCCTGCCAATTGGCCAGTATTCATATGCTCTTCTAATTGCCGTAAAATGACTTCAGGATTGCATGAGCCCAGAAAATTCTAGAGAAAATAAGCAAAACAAAATTAATGGAAAAGCATTACTACTAATTTGTGTCAAATCTGAAAGGTTTACATTTTTTAATCTGAAATATTTTAAGGAATTTCTATTACAGTAAAAACACTTCTATCAGATAACAAAAAATTATTGAAATAAGAAAAAGACATTTTACAAATACCTATTCTAATAGCGAGAGCTGTTTAACAAACATTCTGTCATTCTAAGTGTCAAAAGGAATCTATTTAAATACCAAAACTTCAAAAAGCATCATGAGATGAGTTTATGAATAGTCAAAAAAAGAACAAAGTCAAAGACAAGCACAGATGGCTTTGAAAAAATGTAATGAATAGACCAAATGACAAAAAATATGCGCGTTCATTTATACAGGTTTTGGTCTACTGGCTTACCTACCTTGGGATATAACTAAAATAATCCCAAATGCTTTGTTCTATTTATTCTATATTATAAAGGGAACGTTATTTATAAAAGGCTCTCAAAATGCTTGAGACCCCTTTGTATCCACACACCATCCTGACTCTTCCCCTGCCCTCTTCCACATCCCATCACTAAGCCAAACTGCCTTCCTCCCAGCCTTCTCCATTTTCACTGCAGCACCCTACTTTGGGGACTCATCCACAGGCTGCTGTACAAGGATCAAGTGAGATAAAACCCTATTCTAACAAGAACTTCCCAAGGGTTTCCCTTCTTGCCTCCTCTCTCCTCTGATGCAGCCCACATGGATTATTCTTTCTGAAATACTGCCTGATCATTTCAATTTAGTCTTCCAGGAAAATCAACTGTTCTGATAAAGAATAAGGTTCAAACCCCTCCAAACTCTCTGTCAGATGGCCCTTATTAGCCTATTTTTCCATCCTACCTCCACACAAATCTTCCACCCCACCCATACTGAGGTTTTCCAGGTTTGGTGAAAAGAAAATGCAACTTTTTGCAGGGCACATGCAATACGAGACCTTCCGTTTCTTTGTCAGCCCCCGAGGAATTGTTTGCATGGTACCTTAATTTGCTGGTGTCTTTTTTCCGAGTGGGGCATGAGCATTAGACAGGCTAATGCGAAAGCTGGAAGCTCTAACTGGACATACTGTCTGGCAATTCCAATCATGTCGAGATCATCTGAAACTGGACATCTTCAAGACAGCACATTACTTACTTAATAATCTGTCAGATTCACGAGATGATATTCGCCTTTCTAGCTTTCCACAGTTGTTATCTGTCTATGCTTTCAATAACTGTAAACATGAAAGCGCTGGTGCCCAACACATGATTAGTAATAAGTAACTTGAGTCTTTGATGGAATTCTTCTTGGGATAAAAGAATCTACCAACAGGAACACAGACTGCTGGTCATTGCTGTGATTATGTCTGAAAGCCTACACCTCATGCCTAAAGACAAATTTCAAAAGACTCAAAATCTAGGAGACAACACAGTATGCTTTAGGTAGTCACAAGAGGTACTCTATACTTACATTAAAATTGGGCACTCATTTTAGAGAAAGCTTATTGATCAGCAGCTTACTAGTTGTACTGCATGTAGAAAGTAGACCTTATAATAACAGACATTTTAAAAACAAGTGGTATACCTGACTTCCCAAGAAAAAAGAATTACTCATAAGAAATGTTCATTAGAAAGGAGTTTTATAGCAACACATCTGATTTTGTTTCGTAGGGAAAAATTTTTTTTTACTTACTCTAGAACAGCAACGAGACTCTCACAACAATCTGACAGCTGGGTGGGGCTTAAGGGACAAGATGCTGAAAATAAACACCAGCAGCAATGAACACACATGAATACACATGGGACTGTCAGTGTTTCAGGGGATAGGAAAGTACCTGAGAGCAGTGGTATTTGGACCACGCGCTGCCAAGCTCTGCTGAAGTAGGGGACCTGCAGGAGCAAGCATAGTCAAGAATCATGCCTGGGCTATTACTAGCGCCCTTTATTTTACAGTCACAGAACTACACCCTGAGAGCTTATGTCTGGATGCTAAGACCAAACTCATAAAGTTTTATCTTCCTATTTGAGATTATTAGATTCTAGGGTAATTTGCTTTATAACTGTGCATTTTAGGACCTTATTATACAGTCCTGGCTGATTCATTACTGTTTCATTAATGAATGAAACCTGACACCAAACACAAAATTTATACGAAGTCTATTATGTTCCAGACATTGTGCAAGAGCCACAAGCAAGGGGCAAGGAGACAAGATTAACTAGGGTACATTTTATTCTGTAGTATGGAGAATAACAGAGTTAAAAATAATGAGATACCTCAAAAAGCTAAACATAGGGTTATTTATAAGACTCAAAAATTCTGCTGCCTGGCTCAAGAGAAACAAAAACACAGGTCTCATAAAAACTTGTACACAGATGTTCATAAAGCAGCATTATTTATCATAACCAACAAATGGAAGGGACACACAAAACCATCAACCAACAAATGGATAAACAAAATGTGGTATATATCCATTCAATGGAACATTATTCGGCAATAAATGGAATGAAGCACCGACACCTGCTACAGCATAGATGAATATTGAAAACATGACGCCAAGTGAAGGAAGCAGAGGCCACATATTGTGTGATCCTACTGATAAGAAATGACAAACAGATACAGCCAGAAAGTACAATTAGTGGTTGCCAGGGGCTACAGGGAAGTGGAATGGGAAATGAGTACAATGGATGTGGGGTACATTTTTGGTGAAGGAAAATACTAGAATTAGATAGTGGTGATGGCTGCACAACTTTGTGAATATACTAAAAAGCACTTAATTGTATACTGTGAAAGGGTATATTTTATATGCTAATTATCTCTCAATAAAAACAAAATTAGGTATAGACCTATATATGCTGATATGGAACAGTAACCAAGACACTACTGTTACATAAAAAAAAAAAACACGGTCTAGAATGCGATTGTATTTGTATGGACAAACTTTATACGTATTTATATACAAATGCACACAGACACACATACACATATGTGCTTATATGGCAATAGGAAAGCTCTAGAAGAAAACATAAGAAATTGGAATGGTTACCTCTGCAGAAATAATTTGTGAAAGGAAACGCTAAAGGAGAATTTTCATATTTTACTTAGCATTTATTTATCTTGCTCTAATTTATTAAACTAAGAATAAATTATATATTTCTACATAATATATAATGATTATGTGGGTACATACAACTAAAGATATTTGGAAAACATAAGACATGGTCTCTGATGTTAAAGATTCCAAAGTGCAAGGGGGCAGTTGAATGTATAATTAGAATAAATTATATGTGATAGTGTGTTATTAAAGCCAAAGTGTTTTGAGAGCATAAATGAAGATAACAACTCTTGAGGGCTGGTGAACAGGGAAAGTGACATCTTTAAGAAGGTGACACTGGAGTTGAGTGTCATGGGTCCAGGCACCATTTTAATGGAATGTTAGTTCAGTTCTTTGCTGAAGAGCCGATAAACACAGTGCAGCTGGCAGTCATATGCCAGTGAGGGTAAAGACATCATTCTATAAAATGTACCTTAGAAAACTACGTACCTGCCATAAAGAATGGACACTAGAAATGGCTATTAAAACTCTCCTTAGATAAGGAATCTGTGGGAGGGAAGGAAAGAAAAACAATTTCTGAAGACAACCGAAACAGAAAATGGCAACATGAAATAACAGATTCTTAAATTTTCCCAAGGAATATCAGGAAAACTCATTTTCCATGAGAACTGCCAGAGAAGTTCACTTACTAATTCACAAATATCAAAAAAGGCCAGGGAACCTCCCATCAGTTTCATTTATGAAATTTATGTCATTTGTGAGTTTACACTTTCTCTGGCCTGACACCATATTCTTTAAATTTGGCATGAACACAATGAGAGCAAATGGTTTCAGCAGACATCTGTTCAAGGAGGAGCAATACAACATGTGTAGGGGATGCTGTGTGAATGCTTTAAAATAACTTAGTCTAAGCACTGAGTCTTACTCACCATATTGAAGCCAAAAAGCTTTTGTAAGAGCCCATTCCAAAGCTGCAGGTCATAGATTTTGTATTCTAAACAAAGCTCGGTCACCAATCTTACTGCCTGAAGCAGAAAAAAACATCAAGACACTTGTCTTACTGCTTCAAGATACCAGTAAATCAAACTACTTTTGCAAAAGACAGGGCAGCTGAATACAAATATGCTCACAACATAATGTGTGTCTACTAATTGCAATGAAGGCCCCCATCTCTCTAATCAAAGTAAAGAAAAGAGAGGTTTAACTTATTTTTTCTTCTTTGTTGTCATGGACATGCAAACAGCACCTCAGACTTCCCCCCTTTCTATTCACTAACAGTTTGCCTGTTGGCCTCATACCCCCCTTCACTTCCTGGGCTCCAACTGCCTCAGAGACTAAATTTCCACAGGCAACTAAGAGGAAGAGAAACAATATCCCTCCAGACATAGGAACAGTCTCTTCTTCTCATCTAGATGGTGACATACAGGACTGGGGAACGAATTGTAAAGTGCTCTCTTGCTGACAGGGATGGCTTTAGGACTTAGGTTTTAAGGGAGGGAAGGGGACTTCCAAGTTGCCTGTCACCTGCCATGATGGAGAGTAAGAAACATCTCAGAGCTGTAGACTTGTTCAGGAATAGAGTTTCTTTGGTTTTGTCTTTCAGGACCCTGAATGGCGGCAAGCAACTGAGTGAACCCAGCAGCATGTGAGAAGACGGAGGCCCCACCATTGGATGACTCAGGGCACATACCATGGGTTCATGGCTGTGGTTTTTCCATAGACCCTTAATCATTCCTTCCTTAGGACTGTTGCAAAATAATTCATACGTGATGGGGATATTCAAAGTCTCAAATGATGCCAGAAAAGTTATACATTTCAAATAAGATCTGGAAAACAGCAGCATTTATGGGAATCATTCTCATAGGCCATATAAACATTTAAAATACAAGCTACCATATGGAAATATCAGGCCTGCTTGTTTTCAAATATCTAAATTTTGGTTTTTAAATACATTCACTGAATATACTATTAGAAAGAAATCAATTTGAGGAAGATGAAGAAAACAGTTTCTAAATGTCTCAAAGAAGAAAGGGAAACTGTATGCTGTGAAAGGCCTATTTCCTCTTGGCCAAAACGTCAAGGATGTTCAAGGCAACGGAAGTAAGTTTAGTTATTCTAATGTACTCTTACACACTAAGGCACTTAAAAGTTATACTTCTGAAGAATGATCTGTTTCTCTTAATACAATAAAAAAAAATTATACTTACTTCACTTCTTCAATGGGCTTTTTGAAGAGAGATTCTATAGTTTCTTTGTTGGCCAAGTAGAGGAGACACTGAAGAGCTCGTGTTCTGTGGGCAAAAGTTAACTGACGCACACCTAATGCCTGAAAAACCGAAAAAGGTGCGGAGAGTGGCATGCCTGCACACTGTAGTTGGGCATACAAGTTTCAACTTAGGTAACATAAGCAACACCATTAAAAAAAAATATTGATTCAATTTCTGCCCTCGGGGTGTCAGTGGTTCTTAAAGTGTGGTCCACCGATCCTTGAGGGAATGTTCCTCAGACTCTTCCAGGATGGAAATGGTCAAAACTACTTTCATAATGGTACTAAGACGTTATTTGCCTTTTGCACTGTGTTGATGATTTGCACTGATGGGTGGAAGTGCTGGTTCAAGCCAAGGCAAGAACACCCCACTGTTGTAGCAGCCATTGCGTTCCTCACCACCATGCATTCACATTCTAAAAACTAAAGATGACTCCCGCTTAGGCTCTCGATGAAGCAGTGAAAATTAATTTTATAAAACCTCAACTCTTGAATGTATTAATTATGAATTCACATTTGAATTAATATTAGTTACTTAAAATGTATTCATTTGTATTCTGGGACAAAATGGGAAGCACTCATAAAGCGTATTGCAGTAGGATGGTTTTTTTCAGGGAAAAGCACTTGTATGACTGAGTTGAGCAGAGCTGGCCACCTTTCACGGAATACCCTTTTTACTTGGAAGAAGGACTATCACATAAATTAATACCAAAGAAAAAAAAGGGTATGTCCCCACACTGCTGCCAGGGACATACAATCAGACTTTCCCCTCTTTTTACCTTCTCTCCAAGACCTCTCTCCCTCTGTTCTAATTGCCTCAGAACATTTCTATATGCAAAAGTCTGAAGGCCAAAGAGTTCGTGTCGCCTTTAGGGAAAAGAGAAAGTTTAGTGTGAAGTTTAGTGGGTAAGGAATGGGTGCAACTGGAAGTGAGGCCAGGGTGGAGGTTTGGCCCCATGGTATTAGTAATGTTGACTAACTAGGGAGTTGATGTTGAATGCAGATAACCCGTAGGACTGTCAGTAGGTGCAGTCTGCTGAACAGGATGGTACAGAGGCCAGCATTAAATGGAAACAATCTTTCTTTACAAAGTAAGATATATAGTGCTTTGGGTAAGTATGTGATGAACATTATCTTAGTCATGTTAATGATATTAAGCATGGTAAATATGCAGGACAAAAATTGCTAAGCTGAGATGCAAAGATGACTTTGAGCCAGTTTCCAGAGCTTACAGTGGTGGCTGATGTTGCAAATACGAACAGCATTCTGGAACTATAATCAATTGGACGAGACAGAAGGAGATACAGGACTCTGAAAAAAAATTTTAATTACATTTTTAGTGATAGATTACCAAAACAACAGAACAGTTTTACTGGCCATAGAAAAAATCATTAGACATGCCCAACATAGGCCTGATGGGTTATGTTATGGGTCAAGTTCTTTTTCCTCTCCCCTCTAAAGGATGCTTAATTAATCTCTTGAGTTCCTTTATAGCTAAAGAAGATTAATACAATAAATACCAGTCTTCTGTAAAATGGCTCAACAGTTTCTGATTAAATTCTATTTAAGAAATTCATACAATCTATAGCTAAGAAGTACACTGAATACTACACATAGAAAATTCTGTTTTAGTTCACAGGACCTTATTAGTGGCACATTTTGACCTCTAGACTCAGGGCTGACTGGCCCTCCAGGGAAGGGCAAGATGGATAAGGGGGGGAGCTTTCAGTGGGAAAAGGCAGAAGTTATGTAACTGTCATGAAGTCCCTTTGGGATCTCTTATTGTTTTCCTTAGACTTTCCATATAGTTGGTTCAGTTAGACACTCCAGGAGCTACCTCTTGCTTAGAAAAGGTGCCCCTACCCTTAAAAGACTAAGCAAGGATGAGGTGGGGTCCAGAGGACAGAAGGGCAAGGCAAGGGCAAGGAGCCAGTTCTGCCCAAACTGGGAGAAATTCTTCTCTCAGCTTTGTCATTCTCTATCATCTCTCACTATCAGATCTCTGGGGCCAGTATAGGAGGTAGGGCCTCATTAGTGACTTGACCTGCTTTTGGTCTAGACCAGGAACGGCAAGAAGCTGGCATGCACGTCAACACTCCTGCTCCTGTGCTTATGCCAAGCATCATTAATGGATTACCACATTCTTTTTTGATTTGGGCCTAGATAGAGTTTTGTCAAGATGGCAAGCCATGACCAATCAGATTTAGCATGTTAGATAAAATCAACAAGCCTTTCCTGGTCTCAGTCTTAGGTTAGAAGGGGAAAGAAATCCTGGTGGCCCATATCTGAATGAGTCCAGCTCACTCGGGTGAGAGAACATATAAGGGTCGAGGGCAAAGTCCTAGCTAATAAAAGAGTTTTCCTTTGCTTGAGGGACACTCTCTGTAGAGGTATTCCAGGAACTCTCAGCATTAGTAGAAACTCATGGAGGTTCAGCAATTCTAGGTCTTGGTTGTTTCTTATTTATTCCACTGTGGATAGTTCTACACGGGCATAGCCATGTGTCAGTGAATAGATTCTGATCCAAGTAACATTAAGAAAGTCGTTATAAAAACAGCCTTGGAGAAGTTCACTGGTAAGTCTTACTGGGCAACAAGATATAGACAAATGTAAGTAAAGGAAGGGTACCTTCGTAGTGATTCATCTTCTTGAAATTCAAACAGTTCTGATGGTTTCTTTGAAAAAGCAAAAAAAAAAGTAAAAAACTGAAGTAAGTGTGTTGATTGCATAAGCTTATGAAAATCTATTAGATGAAAAACCCATTATATGAAACTGTGTTCACATAGAAGAAATCAGACTGTAATTCATTATCTTATGGAGAGTTGCTTAAAAAGTGGGTTTACCCACCTTCATTTAGTCAGCATGTTCTTAATGAGTACTTACTATGTGCCAGCATGATTCCAGGCACAGGGGTTTCTGAGTGAACAAAATGCACACAGTCCTGTCCTCCTGGAGCTTATGTTCACTGGAAAATTTTTAAAAGGAAAGGACTCCATGCATTTTAAATGAGTCATTCATTAATTCAGCATATATTCATTGGGATTTACAAAGCAATGTGCTAGAAGCTATGTATAGACACAGTTCCTGGCTTCAAAAACTTCTAGTTCAATACTCTGAATTTACTCTGAATTTAACTCTGAAGTTAAAACATGCTGGGTTTGGTTTCTGAGTCAACCACAGATTCTAAATTGAATGGCAAGTGATATAAAAACTAACCAAAAACCCAATGTTTAATAATAAGTTATATTATTTGTTTATAAATATACTTTTTTTCCAGGGATATCTGCATAGGTGGAGAGGAATTATAGTCTCCCTAATTAAGTTCTGCCTGAAAACTCAGAAGAAACAGTGCATAAAATTCTGTATTTGGATTGCTGAATCTCATAAATTTAGCTGTTAATGATACTATTTCTAAAAAACTGATATTATGTGCCTCCTGGTATCATGTACTGAAAAGAACACATCACCTTTATAGTATTGTTGTAAAAAATACATGACCTGAATATAATCATAAGAAACATCAGCAAACCCAGGATAAGACATTTTACAAACCAGTTGGCCTACACCCTTTAAAAATGCCAACACCCCATCATGGTCAAAACAGATTCAAGTAAGAATCATCAACAGATGCTAAATCGGTTGTGTGGTAAGGAAAGGAGCCTGAAGAGGAACAGAATATTAGATTGTCTCAAAATATCTCCCCTAATAATTACAAAAGGAAATACAGTAACTATGTTTAACAGAGAAACAGACATCTTAACCAGGTTACCTAAATTAATATCACCTATTAGGGCAAAAAGAAATAATGTGCCTCCAAATGTCATACCCTGAGAAGGATATGTTAACACTTAGGTAGGATTCTAGCCAAAAATGCATAATTCAAATCTTGTTATGAAGAAATACTAGAAGCAGCTTATAAAATAATTGGCCTGTACCCTTCAAAAATGTCAGTGTCATAAAAGAAGGAAAAGTCACAGAACTGCTCTAGATTAAGACATTAGAGACATGATAAATAAATGCAATGAATTATCCTGGACTAGAGCCTACTCCCAAGGAAAAAAATTGCAATAAAAAACATTATTAGGACAGTTAGTTAAGCTGTAACTTGGACTTTAGATTCAGTCTATTTGTATTGTATCAATATTAAATTATCTGATTTTGATAATTATATTCTGGTTAAGAGAAAAGTTTTGTTTTTAGGAAATACACACCTAACTGTTAAGGGGGTAAAGGGACACGACATATGCAATTTACTCCCAAATGGTTCAGAACGATATTATGAGTACATATATTACAGAGAGAGGGATAAAGCCAATATGGCAAAATGTTAAAAACTGATGAAGCTGGGTGAAGGATATACAGGAATTCTTTTACACTACCGTACCCTTATGTTTAATATTATTTCAGAATTAAGTGTTAATCACATGAATCTGAATCTAGGAATAGGCCACTTCTTTTATATAAGAATTCACCTGGAATCACTGATTAAAACAGCTGCAATACAACATAAAAATGAAAGGAAAAAGCAAACAACCTCATTAAGTCATCAGATAACATAAGGTATTAAAATGAACAAAAGTTCCTTCTACGATCTTATGTTCCTAATTAGGAGGTTTTATCAGTGCCAACAACATACAGAACAGATGCTTTCAGAGAATGGACTTACGTCACCAGGTTTTGTGGATGGACACAACCACTTTTCCAACAACATGTCCCAGACTTTCTCCAAATTAATTTCATTAACTTCAGCAATTTCTTTAGCTGCTGCATGAATATCTAAGATATTCAAGATAAAGAATAAAAAAAACCCCCTCATGTTTGTAATACAAGATAACTGGGAATCAAAATGATAGTTCTTCTTGGACAAAAAGGGTTTTGACCTCACCTGGATAATCTTTGCTTGAAGAATTCTGAATTCTTTGATTTATAGTAGGATGTTCATACAGACTGACAATGAGATGTGCTGGTTTTCCTATCACTCTTAAATATTCTGCAGTGTTCAACTTGTGGGTTATGAGCACGGCTTCTGTGCCTGATCGCCGGTACTGAATATGAAGCTTCTTCAACAAAGCCTCGGCTTTTTCACGTGTTTCATCCTATAAGAAATACCAAGCAAAAAGGAAACCTTGTTTTCCAAATCTCAGGTGAGGCTAAAATCCATCTTTATCAATCAAGGCCCCTCCCTGATTTAGTTACATCCTTAAGCATCTACAAAGCCTCATCTTCTTTCTCCATTTTAGGCATACAACTCTTGAAAATGCCCATGGCCATGACATGATACGCTAGCAAGCAAAATTTCAAGGAAAAGAAAGGAACCTTCAACATTATGGTTCAGACTCACCTGAGATGGGAGATTCTGTAGCCATCTCTCGGCTAAATACAGGCAGAATTTCAAAGTGGACATCTTGAAGGAACCTAAAAGATAAAGAAGAGATTTACAAGCAAATCTTAATCCTTTCAAGACAAATGAGCAAGATTTTTTAAATTACAAAAATGCACACTCATACTAGAAAACAATTTAAACAGGACAGAAGGATACAAAACAGGAAGTATAAGTCCACGGAGGCCCACCCTCTGCTTCGCTTCCTAATCCTTTGATTCTTATACACCTCTACTGTGTGCGTGTGCACGTCGTGCACATTTTAAGCCAAATGGTAAAAGATCATAGTGCAACACAATTTGCTATTCTTGCTTAGTATTTATCTTTCCAAATCAACTATTGTATTCCATTCTATGGATACACCCTGTTTTTTAACCAGTTTGTGACAAGCGAGCATTTACAAAAAAGTTATTTTCAACTTCTGTTACAACTAAAAACATAGCAGTAAGTGTCTGTGTTTTTATCCTCGTCTGATTATACAGGAATAGCTAAGGATTCGTTACTGCAAGTATGACTGGCTATTAGGTTTACATCAATCTATATTCCCACTGACAAGTGGGAGAAGTGAGTTATTACCCCTGTACCCTAAACAAGCAGCAAGGAGCCTGGCTTATTTCACCGGAGCCTTTTTGGTTGGTACTCAGCAAATTTTAACAATTTCAGCAATGCAACAAGTGAAGAAAGAGGGCACATATGTTTTTAAATATCAGTTTTTAAAGGTTCTCCTTAAAGATACAAAAGGAGTACATTTTTTCACTACAAGTTTGAAAAACAACACAGATGACTCTTTTAAGTCCCATTAAGGAAGAACCCATACCTTCTGGGATATCCTGGGCAAGACTGATGGCAATAGCTACTGCCCACTCTGGGTTAACTATAGATAATAGGTAGGATTCGATGGTTTGTGTGATCTTAGTTATTTCCTTGTTCATTAGTGTTGAGGATTTAGCTTGTGTTAACTTCAGGAGCTTTGGCTTCAGTTTTTTTTCAAAAACATGTTTGGCTGTTGACACATACAGAGTGTCCAAAGAGAACTTCAAAAAAAGGAAAAATTAAGGCTGATTTGTATATTCACCTTTAAGAGTTTTTACATGAAAGCACAACATCCTTCTACCCAGGGTCTGAATTAATTAGAAGATAAAGATACACCCATTAAAAGGCAATACAGCACAGAGAAGACAAGTAATGACTATTATAGCGTCTTACTATGCTGTTAGAGTGACTTGATAATATGGGCAAATTCTGAAACCACAATATTATTCATGTGAAACTTTCACAAGATTGTATATCAATGATACTTTAATGAAAAAAAAGATACACCTATTACCTTCATTAATTTAGAAATTAGGAGCAATGTTGGGAAGGATTCTTCACTGAGTTCTGTAGCTAGAAAGGAAACATGGAAAGTATGATTTGTGTAAGAAAAAAACATTGGCTGTTCAGTTAAATTCATAAGAAGTTAAGGAACATACAGAGAATTTTCCAGAAGTTCTGTGCTGTGCCAAAGAATATTAGGTGAAATGGCAATCTAGTTTGGGCAGCAGATGGCAAAGTTATTACATGCTCCAACATATATTGATATTCTAGGTCCACTGGAGGAGAAATTCTTCTGTATGACCTCAAATGTTTCAGAAGACTCAATGCCTATATTGAAATAGAAAAGTATTTTCCTGTGAAATGAAACCAATCCTAACGGTTTTTAAATTGTCTAACCTATACACACATTTCCATTACTGAAAGTCTTGCTTAGTCTTATCAAATACTTCTGTAGTTTTACTTCTAATGTTATTCTTCTAAGCCATATTTTATATCAACATTAAAGAAATTATTCTAGGAAAAAACACTGGAACCTGTGGTGGTTGTTGGTGGGATGTTTTGTAAAGGAGAGTTTGGCAGTTCCCTATGCTCTCTTCAAATAGTTTAGAGATATCTCAAAAAAGCTTGATTTCCTTTTATATACATAGGTGGTAGATCTAATCCTCGATGTCCCTTACAACTCCTAAGCTCTTATCTTGTATTTTGGGGGTTTGAACAGCCTATCAACCCATTTTCTTTTAATTTTTAAAGTTCAATTAAAAAAGATATATAAGATACTCTGACCAAAATTCAGAAAAGACTAAAAGTTACTGAAAGTACTAGAATTGAATCATCCCTACCTACCAACTAACACAGAAACTGAATCTAACTCTGGGTCCCATATGCCTTTTTTTCTTTTCCCCAGATGACAAATGATTTTGTTTTGATTCTTCCAAATCAGTCCTTTAGTGACTTCATACTCCTGGACAGATTTAAATCACTTTGGTAAAGCAGAAACAGGATTAAGACATATGATAAAAAACAGAGAACATGAAAAATCTTTTTACTTCAGTTATCTTAGAGAAAAGGAGATAGTATAAAATGTTTAGTTTAAAGGGAGCTCAAAGGATAACTATAACTTTTCAAATGATCCAAATAAAAGCATAAAGATAATTAAGTCTATGGTATTCTTTGTTATACCTGGTTAATATTAATGCTGGTTATCTTTTCATCAGCTCTTTCTATGACTTTCAGGACAATTTCAATCATTTCATAGTCATAGGGATCCAACTAAATAAAAACAAAAATGTTTCAAAACTTGAGAAAAAGTTGCTAGGTTGACAGATGGTTTTCAGTTATGTACATCAGTACAGAGGACAAATACAAAATCTCAGTGCACTACGATGTTAGATTATTCTTTTAAAAAGTGAAATAAAATTTTCTCATTGTTAAAAGTAGTTCTATTAAGACAACCATACAGGCTTTAAAATATTTCAAAGTTTAAAAAGAAAGCTGTACAAGGAAATATTGTTTAAAGAAAGATGCTCTTAGGTTATGAAACATACAGAAATACCAAAATTTCAGTTTTATAAAATTTTTAAATCAAAATTCTATTTCTTCCACTTACGATGGGAAAATGAGATTTGGAGGAAATTGACCTTTTCTTGGAAATGACTTAACTAAAAGTGTGGGCCTCTAAGCAAAAACTGTTCAAAGGATTCCATTCTAGCTTTAACCATATACTAAAATGCAAGAATTAATTGGGTGGCATCTGTAGATGCTCATAAAAAAGCATCTGTTCTTTGTTTCTGCCCACACACTTTTTTTCCATTTTTTAAATGCCAACTAAAGTCACATGAATAATAATAATGAACAACGTGGGAAGATGATATCTGTAGTATCTAGAAATTTTGTTTAAGTCTGTGTAATTTTCAGCTGAATTGCAGGCAAAATATGAAGATGAAGTATTTCTTTTAATCTTACTTCCTCTCCCCTTTCCATCTACCTTTATTCCCTCACCAAACTACCCCTTGACTTAAAAGTTCCAATTCTCAGATCTCCTAAAGAATAACCATATAAGAGGACAAATACATATCTGTGAAGGTATTCATTGTAATGATTTATAATAATGAAATTTACAATTTAAAAGTCCCTCTCTAAAGGCCTGGTTTAATACAGTATGTTTCCCTTATAGTGGAAGCATATATAGCTGTCAAAAACTAGATGGATGTATGTGTAGTGACAATATGTTAAGTGAAAAAAGATAGTAACAGAATAGGATAGTCTAAAGATACTCACCAAACTATTAACATTTTTATCTATGGGAGTGGAGTAATAGGAAAATTTCACTTTTTGATTTATACCTGTTTGGTTATTTTCAAAGAATGTGTGTAATTTTCAAAAATCTGAAAAATGAGGCTATTTCTATTTTGAAAAAAAAAAAAGAAAAATATTATATTAAATTATATTAAGGAGCTAGGAATCTATTCTAAAATTTAAAGTTTAATAGTAGAGGACTTAACATTTCTAATTTGTTACCATATACATCTAATTAATTAAGCGCAGGAGGGCTGTTTGAAATGACTTGATACATGGACTTCACTGTTCATCTACCTTATGTAGTATTCCACTAAGACTGATAACCAAGTCTTTTGTGTTCGACAATAAAGGAACCATCTCGACGGCTTTGGCCAGGAGTTTTGAATGCTGCTGCCTGGCAGACTCCCTGCTTGCATCTCCCTGGCTTTGGCTGGCATTGGTGTTATGCAGCAGTGTTTCAATGAATAGCTGAAGAGCGGCATCGCAGTTCAACTGAAATGTGCTAAAAAAAACACACAAAAAAAAACTATTCAAATTTCACAGTGATCTCCCCAAAGGCATGCATTTCCACAAAGGATTTCTCACAGAAAACTGAGGTGTGTGTGCCCATAACTGAAATCCAATTCTACTGTCCGATCTCACAATCAATTGTCTGCCTGTCATGAGAAGTCATCATTGCCTTTAAAAAAATCAGATTTTATTCTTGGTGGCATGTAAACTGGCACAAGACTGGGGGAAATTTATAATATATAATATAATCAGAACTATTTATGTCCTTTAATAGGGCAATTCTACCTTCACAAAAGTAGCCAAGATACACACACAAGGATGTGCACTCAACAACTGTTAATATTTAAAAACTGGGAACAGCTCAATCATCCATCAATAAAGAGATGGGTAAATCACTTATTCATACACAGGAATGCTGCAGAGTTCAACATCTATGAGGAGGGACCACACATACTTATCTCGGGAAACATACTATGAAGTCAATGACTATACTATGAAATCGTATGTACAATAATGATTCTGTTTTCAATAAATTAAAAAATAGCATATTAGTACATGCACAGAAAAAAATCCATCAATAATATAGACCATACTCTTTTAATGGTGATTATCTCTGATAATCATATAGGGGGACTTTGATTTTAGTATGTTCCATCTCAGTAAGAAAAAATAATAGACTTAAAAATTAAGAATAAGGTTAGTATAGACAGACAACTGAAATGCTTTTTAAGCCTTATTAATAAGACAATGATAATTTGATATACAGAATAACTGCAATATCATGAAAAGCTTTAAGTATGACCATTTCAAAGTCATTTCCTGAAATTCTGAAGGTCTTAATTTATTCAGGTGGACTGCTTGAGGCAAAGGTCATTATCACATAAATACAAATTATCAGTCCCTTGTAAGTACAACCATTGTAAAATGAACTTAATATTATTAATTATATATGAATTTGTCATTATTACATTTCAGGAAAGGGGTCAGTACAATAAAACAACATACAACTGACCAGGAATTCAAATTAACAAACCATTGTGTGTGTACCCCATTCTGGATTAGAAGCAGCTGAAACTGAAGAATGGCATAATTTTGTTATTTCAAAGTATAGTTAAAAGTCAGAGCTACTTAGAGCTACAGGCAGCCTACTGTCCTTGACTTGCAGGTTTCGGATGGTGAGAGCCAGGGTCACTCCACTTCCCATGGGGACATAGAACCAGATACTTGTTGGTCAGGAAATATGCTAAATAACATCATTATCAATAACTCAGATTCTACTAATCTGTCATTAATGGGATGAGGGGTCTAGCATCCTAAGTATTTTAAAAGCAGTTACTTATTATTTGACCTTAAGCAGGTCATCTGAGTTTGTTTTCTCACATATAAATTGGCAGTAATATGCAATAAAAATTATAAAAATAAAATATGTGTGTGAAAGCACTCAAACTAGTAATGTGCTAAAAAATTGGTCATATTTATTTGAGACATCTGAGACAGCATTTATTCTTACTCAACACAGTAAGCTGACTGTAGAAACAAAACTTTAAGTCTTAGTTTTTAAATTCACTTATCAAACTGTTTTTTAAAATTCTCTCTAAATCATACTTTTCATTATTTTTTAAAATTACCTTGCTCCTAAATCGATCAGATTTAGAAGTTTGTTTAGAATATACCCAGACTTCCCTGTTATAGGAATCATCTGGAGCTCCTATTAAGGATTGGATTCCTGGGCCTCAACCCAGACCTGCTCAGTCAGAACTACCAGGGATGGGCCCAGAAATTTGTATTTTTAATCAAGTGCCCTATGTGATGCTTATTGTGAGGTTAGTTTGGGAAAAACTAAGCAGTGAATTAAAAAGGTGAGATCGTAAGAGAATTTAATCTGGTCCTGGATTTGCTCAGGTGGGGGTGAGCAAAAGAAAACATCAAAGGTCTATGGACCATATGTAATAATCATCTTTATTACTGTGTCCTTGTAGTAAGGATGACCAGTTTGTAAAGCAAAAGCAAAAATCCCTCTGAAGTTTAAAGAGTTACCTGCAATATTCCAGGATGAGGCTGGTGTCCATATCTATATTTTCCACAAGAGCTTTAATGAGGTCTTTCTTGGTGAGAAAATGTTGCCTGAAAACTGGCTGGAAAGAAATCTAGAAATAAAAATAATAAGGACACCATTGTGACTTGCATTTTACTATCCTTTTTTATAGAGAAACATTTTTCTATAGGTCCTCCAACTTTTATTTTTACTACACTACCCAACTCAGCCATCATTCTGAGACTTTAGGTAGATCTGACTATGGGCCCAAAGTCTCTCTTAGTCACACCAATCCTTGGCTCTTCATCAGTAATGTTTGGTTGGCAGTGACAACCAATCCCATTACTGCACAGGAATTAGGCTTCAAAACATATACCATTTCTGTGGGGGCTATCTTCCCAGTAGGTCAACTACCACAAATAAAATGTTTCACATTCATAGTAAAGAAAACAGGATTTTGTTTATTTTTGTAAAGTGAAAAACAAAGACCACTTGCTTTTCCCTGCTAGGAGTTCTTAAGCTTAGCACAGCTATGTAGACATTTTAATATATTTAATCAAATAATAGCACAAAATACAAGCATAAGGATAAAGGCTAGGCCTGAAATAGTGTAAATGTTAATTAATACTAGATATATTCCTATAAATAAGAAAGCTAAACAGATGAAAACATCAAGCCTCTTCTAATTTCCTTAAAAATACAGAGAAAAGGAAACAAGGCAGGTCTTCGATTTCTTTGAAAGCTCCAATATGTGTACTTAATACAACTAGAATTTATGAGTCAGTGTACACACACACACACACACACACACACACACACACACACACACCTGTCCACAAAAGTCAAGGACAATGAGATCTTTGTTTTACATTTCCCAGTGGGGTAGATTATCAGAATGGATGAAACTTCATGGCACTCTGAAGAATACTTACACCAAGTTTACCAAGACGAATACCCCAGCGGGCATCAGTACTGAGTTCACGGAACTTAAGTTCCATTTCTATTTCCTGATAGAGACTGGCCAGCTGAGAGCCCACCAGAGACAGTGCCTAAAAAATTAAAATAGAATTAAAATTCATTTGCAAATGAGTATGTTCTGACACCTTCTGGATGAAACCCAATAATAAAAATCATAACCTTTCTTTGTGATAACAGTGTGGAATGTTACATTTGCACACAGTCATACTTATGCAATATTTAGGTCATTCAGCTTTTAGTATGATGCCATAAATTTAATCTGCTTTCCTTCATAAGAAAAAGCCAAATTTTAGTTATCCTGCAAGAAAAACCCCTATATAAAAAGGCAAATTTTTAAACAAGCAACATCAAAGAGAAGTTTTGCTTCTGGTAAATTTGTTCTCCAAAAAAGAACTGTCTCATGGGTCTAAGGTTTCAAATACAATAGAGTAAGTGTAATAAAAAGGTTCTAAGGCTGCATACAGATTTAAGAGAAAAAATATCATAATTCTTTGGGTTGTGCAATGCTTATAACCTGTGTTCATTCACCAGTGTGTTACTAATAGTCAAGGAAAAGCTGGTAGAAACCAAGTGAGTTAGCACAACATTTCTTCTGCTAAATCTTCGAGATCTGGTGGCAAAGTCAATTTCATTTCTTCCCCTAAATTTTAAATGCTTCAAGAACCAAAGGCATGCTTCCTCAGGTCATACCAAAATTTTGTCATAATTCTGCCATGCTTTATCTATGAGCTTCCAGAGATTTTCAAACACTTCCTTTTGGGGTAAGAGAGTACAATAACCCAGTGCCAAGTCAAGATCCACCAGGCGGCAATTAAATACCTAAGGAAGAACAGAAAACATCCAGGGAAGCAAATTCTTCACAATCAAAACAATTAGTCTCTAAAGGCTTATTTGTCACTAAATGTAATCATAGACCTTATGAAAGAATAAGTGTTTCATGACAAGTTATTTATAGCAACCTAGTTCCAACTTGTTTGCTTAGTTTGAATGTCCTTTACCACTATCACATATTTAAGGAAAGCAACTAGAACAAGTTCTCTGGCACCCTTATCTTTTCTCCTACAGAACTACTCCATTACTTTTCTTCAAATCCCCCACGTCCCTCCCCCTCCTCACTGAACCTATCTGTGAAATCAGATGCAGCCAGAAGACAGCAAAAAAAAAACAAACAAAAAAAAACCCAAGAACAAATACTCACTTTGTGCAGTAGTGTTGTAGCATTTGCTTTGATAAACACGATGGCTTTCTCTTTCAATTCCATAGCCACATGCCTTGATTTAACTAAGGTGGCCTCTCCAAATAACTTTTAGAAAAGAATAAATGAATCCTTAGGTCCACTTCTAACCATGTACCATTCTGAAAACTTTTCTTAAATGTCAAGGAACTTGGAAAATTCAGCATTATATACAATAAGAATCAGCATTGAGTCTATAATGACATACAGCTGGGCCTCGGGGCAACTGATGGGGCAGGGGCACAAAGGAACCTTTTAAAATACTCCACATCTTGATTGTGGTATTGGTGACAAGGTGAGTATGTTGGCTGACACTCTTAAAATGTGCGTATTTTAATTTTGAAAACTATACTTCAATAAAGTTAACTTTAAAACTGGCATTTTGATAAAAATTAATAGTAGAAATAAACGTGATTCCCTCTGAGACCAGCTTCATAAGCAAGGTATCAAAAGGTAGTTTGTCTTCTAGAATCTTTTCAATGATGCTGGCAGGCAATAATTATAATAATTCCGGCTGCAATAAAACAAACAGCAGACCGATGGCTTTGACCTAATGTGGTCACGGGGCTGGGAGTAGACTTACCAGTGCAACCTAAAACCTCAAGTAACTTATTTTACCTTCCTGAATCTGAGCTTCCTCATTTGCAAAATGGAGATGTTCAGGGTTGCGGTAAAAACTGAGTGTGAATATGTGTGTAATTACCTTGAATTTCACCTGAGTCTTAGTAGGTGTTCAATGTTTCTTAAATCTGACAAATTACAATTTCCTTGCTACAGAGCCAAAAAGGAAAATGTGGACTCCAAGTTTCCTTGGCAACTTTTGTGTCTCTACCCCAAGTAAAGTATTTGTTCTCCAAATTATACCTTTTCACTCAAACTGGCATTCATGAAGTTTGACACAGAGTGCTGAAGACAGGTACCAAACGAACCAATTACAAATCTTAGGGCCAGCTCCCACTGGCTAGATTCCTGAAGGTTCTGAAGCAGGGCAGTGATGGAATTTATAATAGGTAAAATAAGGCTGTCCCCTGTGAAATGACAAAAGTATTTTATGTGAGCAAGAATATTTTAGTATTTAGATTTTTTTAAACAAAGAGAGATCATATTTTTGGAAATCGTTTTCGGGGATAGCCTAACTCCTTCAATAAAAATAATGGTCTCAATTGGTTCTCAAAGGTGATAAATGAGATTGTTAACATGAGGCTTGATTTAAACAATAAAACAACTAAGTCCACTGAATAATGGGGTACCTTAACTGTAACTTGCCTATTTTGGGATGCTTAAATCACTAGCTGAGGAAAACCATTTCTCCATTCACAAGACCAAAATTATAAACAGATTCATAAAAGCTGATGCTCTAAGTCAAATGGCACACTCTCCTGACTCTTAAGAAGAATAACAATGTAATACTAATGACTAGGCATCTACATTAAGACATTAAGTCATTTATATTCAGGATTTCAAGAAATCTCCATATTGGTGTATTTATAGAATCATAGTACAATGGTGTACACTTCTGAGGTCAAATACCTTCATTCATAGAGCAATACGGTAAACTTGTAGAATCCAAGGGAAGTCTATTGCTTTCTACAAAAGAGAAAATAATAAATAACACTAAATAAAACAGCTGTCTGATAGAGCCCATATTCCCAGAGATATGTGATGTCCATGTGATGCTAATATAAATATGGTGCTAATATCAAATAATGTTCTAAAGTAACCCAACTTAAACAACAAAAAAAGCTTAAGTGAAGTTTACATACAGAAAAATGCACAGATTAAGTAGGCAACTTGATATATTTCCATCAAGTGAATACATCCATGTAATAGCATCCAATCAAGGGATAGAACTAAGCATCCAGAAGCCCCCTCTTGCCCTTTCCAGTCATTGCCCACCCCAAGGGTAAACACTACTCTGACTTTCACAGCATGGCTTATAACAACCTGTCCTTATACTTTAAGTAAATGAATCATTCAGTATGTATTCTTCTGTCTGGCTTTTTTTGCTCAGCACTATGCCCATGAAATTCATCCATATTATCATGTGTAGTTCTAGTTCCAAACCTCTGCAGTGTAAACAGGCACAGAGCAAATTATCACACAGATGAGATTTACCAGCTAGAGGCACAAGTGATGAAATCAATTCATAAATAAGAGGCAGCACCATCTGTGACTCAAGAACTATTCCATCTTCACTGAAGAAGTCACTGTAAGACCATTCTTCATATGGATCTTTATGAGTTCCAAAAGATGTCTAAATACCAAACCATACAGAAAAGACACAAGTAAGTACACTCTAAAATACAGATAGCTATCTTCACCAAGCAGAATCCAGAATCAGATTCATTAGGGCCAAATGAAAATTTGATGTTGCTGTTTTTTCTGGCTATGGCTTACAATAATGCCACCTTAATTTAAATTGTTACTCCAACATAAGAACAATGTCCAGCGATGCTTTGTTTCAGGCTCAATGTTTCAAAAGAGTGCAAATTAAAGCCACTAGATGAGACTGGAAAAAAGTGATCTCATGCCCTAAAGTTGTTTTCCAGTTGAGAGAAAGAAAATGCAAGATGTAAATTTGGTGTTTTTGTAATCTACACAAGTGATTTAAAAGTGGTGCAAAATGGATGGGCAGGGGTTTTGTTTAAGGAAAAGAAATTCAAAAGCAACCTACTTTCACTAGAATCCCACAGTCATCCATTTGGCATTGTCTGGAAAGCTCTACTGCTATTAAAGTATATTTGCATAGTTCTAAAGCATCTAGTAAAAAATCTGCAAGAAAATGGAGAAAAATCATTAAACTAATATTTCCTATGTATTCAGAATAAAAAAAAAACTTTTAATAATTACCATTCAAGTCTAAGAAAAGCCATAAAGTGGGAAAGCCTTCCGGATAGCTTTACCCATCCTAAATAATGAAGTTCAAATTTTTTCCTAAGCTTGGCTGTAAAGTAAGATCAGATATGGGATGCCAAGAAATTTCACAATCCTGCAAAAGTATCATCAACAGAAATGACATTGTTAAATCTAGAAATATTTTAAAACAAAATCCCCATAGAGTTGATTATAATCATCCCTTTGTAAAATGGAGATAGCCATCTCTTCTTTCATTACCACAATGTTCAGTTGTGAAGTGATAGCATTTGAGAGACAAGTAAGAAATGAACCAGAGAATATAAAACCACATATAATGATAAGTCTTGTCACCTGGGCTGCAGATGGTGGCAGCTTGGCAGGCTAAATCATGTATTTCGGACGGAAGGTTTAGCCCCACAGGTGTTGTCATTGGAACATCATTAGCCAACATCTGACAGAGCTTCTGACACGTCAGATACAGCAACTTCCCAGTGTCGGCATTGCAGTGATACTTAAATAAGTCTCTTTAGAAGAAAGAAGTGTCAGAAGTTAGAATGCTCTTCTGGCAAGCAAATGCATTCACCTTCTTGGATTAATATATAACCACCACCAACATTTAGAATGTCTTTAAAACACTTTCATGGTATATAGAGTACTTTTAAAAAAAAACTTATTCAGGATACTATTAACTGTCAGAGTGCATAGCGATTTAAATTCAGTGGTTAGATCACCTAACTGTGTAATGTTAGCTGCCTGCCTTTTATGCTATTATGCTATTTTTTTTTTGACCCAGAAGTCCAAAATAAGGCCTTAAGGTGAGAAACCAAGAACCCTTCTCTGAAAATGAGTGTCATTGGCCCTACCTTTAATTCCTGAAGAAATAAATGAAGCAAATGTTCCTACCAGAAGAGCTGATTGAGAGGGATCCAGAGCTCACCTGCATTTTCTCAGCGCTGTTCCCACATTCCCATTGTTTAAGGCCCTCAAGGTCAGCTCAGCCTCCTGCTCTTGTGTGGACACCTGCAGGGCCCGAGCCTGTCCGTGCAGCTTGTCCTGGGGGCCCTGGCTCTTCTCCTCAGCAGCTGACGGCTCTGCGGTGCTCCTGGGTTTTTGTTTAGCCTGTGCAACTTCGTGAGCTTTAATGTACTGTTCCCGGAGCTCTGCTACCAGGGAACTACTGCTGTGATCTCCAAATGGAAGAAAGACCTCAAAGTTCTCCTGTAGCAAGGCAGTGAGACAAAGTCCCAGGTCTGGTTAGTTTACGTGTTGTTAAAAGCCTTGGAAAACCCACAATACCCTTCTGAGAGAGTATGGACAGAAAATAAGTTTTTATTATTGTTGTAAATATAAATTTAATCTCATGGGCCCCCTGAAGGGTACTCAGAGACCCTTAGGAATCCACAGGCTAAACTTTAAAGAACAGTGGTCCAGTAAACTGGTAAGTTACTTTTTCTTTACACATTTTGAGATAATGTAACTGAGAGTTAAATCTGTGAGAGTCAATTCTAAGTTTTCACAACGAGATTCTCACATCTACCTAATTTTCTATTTGATGAAACTTATCAGTTAACTCTAAAAGCACACCTATTTACAAAACCTTTTCACTAGGAAGACAACTGAGCCAAAATAAAATGAGTTAATTTCAAATCTCAAATACTAGGACAGTGAGTCAACTCAAAGTTAACAGAAATTAATTTTAAGAAAAACCAAATTGTCTAGGACAAAACTATAAAATAAAAATTTAAATACTATGAGGTAGTTGACAGTGATTTTTAGGGCCAATTGTATACAGATAATTCACCATCTTTTACAGTATTTTACAATATTTTAAGAGACTGTGATGCCTCAGTTTCCTCATGTGTAAAAGAGAATTATACCAGTACCTTCTATGGTGAGCTATTGTGATAATTAAAGAAATAGGAATGAAATGCTGACACCTGCTACAATATGCATGGACCTTAAAAACATTATGCTAAGTAAAAAAAGCCACACATAAAAGGATAAATATTTTATGAGTCCACCTATATGATATATAAAACAGGCAAATTCATAGAGATAAAAGCAAGTTAGATGTTACCAGAGGCCAGAGGGAGAGAGGACTGGGTAAAAAAAAAATAGTTTCTGGTTGATATGATGAAAAGTGAACAATGGTGATGGTGATAGCTAAACCTTATAAATGTAGTTAATTGCCACTGGATTGTATATTGAAAGATGGCTAACATGGCCAATTTTATTTTGTATTTTACAATTTTGAAAAATCAGTAATCCAATATACCACAACCATTCAATTATACACTTCAAATGGATGAAATGTATATGGGTTATATCAACAAAGCTGTTTTTAAAATGAGAGAGAGGAGGAAAGCCAGTCTATCTAAATGTCAAATGCACTAATTAGTCAAGTAAAAATGTTCAATATAGCTTAACATCTTCACCTGTAAGCTAGCAACAGCTTTAAACAGTTTCAAGATGTCTTCATATTCATCCTTCTTCTGCAGATTGCCTGCAATCAAATGTTTTGAAGTTAGAGCAGACATGGAATTCTCCTATTACCAGAATTTTTACAAGTTAAAATTTTAATTTGGTTATCTTTTCTCAAGTCTTTAAATAGTTCTTTTCAGATGCTGACATAAGATAATTTAAGAGACCTAATATTATTTCTGAAAGTAAGAGGAGTTAATGAGTTACAAGAGAAATGGCAATTTTTCTGAAATAAAAGTTTTTCCCAAGAGAGTTACTTGACTGTTTAAGCTCAAGTTTCAATGGGCTTTCCCCCTGATCATAGCCAAGTGGTGAGAAATATGAGTAGGAAGTGCAAGGCACTAGAGAAATTTAGTCTAGCATTAAATAGCTTACTGAAGCAGATGAACAAATGGCGAGTTGATTGAAAAAGGCTCCTGTTCTTATATTACTAAACAAAAGAATAAGGCAAGGAAAACTTTTCATGAAGAAAAATAGGTGGAATCAATAAAGACAATCAGAACCAGAAAAACTGTGGGTTAACAAGTGCTATCATGGCTGCTCCGGCCTGAAAAAACAAAGATGAGGAAATAGAGGTAGAATCCACCTTTTGGAAGGTCACATAGTATTTTAAGAATGTCTACTGAAGTCTTCGCTATAGACATTCTCCAAGACTTGTCCTAAAAAGAAAAATGCAAAATGAAATCCACTTTATTCACCATTTCACTAGAATACACACAAATACATAAAAACTATGGAATCAGAAAAAATAAAAATGGCTAAAAAATGAGAGGTCCATATTATGGATCACAATTGAATCATATATAGCCTAAACATGAAAAACACTGGCATGGACTCTTGGATATATGATTTAGAAATACCACAGAAAATGATCTCCCATACTGTCTTTCAGCTGCACTGTAACAGGCACTTGGGTTTATTTTGTTTTGTTTTTTAAATAGTTTTTATTTATTATTTGAAAAACATTTGGAGAAGTTCTCTGGGAAAGTTAAAAAGAACTGAACTTATTTAGCCTAGAAAACAGAAATCTAAGAAAAAATCATTATCTTCAAGACTGGAAAATGTATTTTTTTTAAAGAGGAGAAAAACCAAGGAAAATCTTTGAAAGGCATGATATATGTAAAACTCTTAGTAAAGGCTGGGTGCACATAAAGTACTCAAACATTTTCACTATGGGATGTAGTTCAAGCTCGTGTGAAGACAAAGACTTTGTTACTACAAAGATTTTGAAGTTGAGGTTCTGCCACTTTCTAATAACCTTGGGAAAGTCACTTTAATCTTAAAGTTTTAGTTTCTGAACTTAATCTGTAAGGCACTAACAACAGGACATCACAACTTGGTAGGGAATAGAAACTGGACAATTCCTTTAAAGTATTTAACCTAATAGCCACAGCATAATAAAAGCATAATAAATTACTGGATGCTAAAAAAGACATACTCGGTTTAAAAATTTGCTGGAGTGGACTGCTAAGACAAGTTGGGAGGTATCTATCTCTAAGGTTAAAAAAACTCAACTATCCTGCATGGATTGGGTATTCAGTTTCTTATCTCTCTAGAGAAATGAATTGGTTCTCTTTGAAGTTGTTTACCTTTCAATGTTCTAAGGTTATTTAGATTTATAATGGTTGTGTGGCTGACATTATTTGATGGTAATGATTATATCCTATACAATGCAAAACACTTTATGTTGTAAGGTGTTGTGGAAAACACTTTATATACAACTACTTCAATTAATCCTTTTGATTTGATGATACTAGATTATTATTCAGTGTGGGCTCAATTCACTGCTCCAAACGGTGTTTTTTTTTTCCCACTAAGCAGTAAATTTACACAGGAATTTTGCATTAAGACATTCTAGCAGTGAAAAGATCCTGTTGATTAATATCAATAAAATTGGATACATCTACAGTTTATTAAGTAAAAATCTCACCTCTTTAGAACCATCTGGCTCTTCCTGTAACGCCAAGCGTGCCCATATGATTACTCTCTCTGCAGTTTTCTCTGCTTTAGCAGGATGCAAAGACTTCAATAGAAGGACACAGTCTTCACCCTGTAAACAGTGTTTGAAAGGAAGGAAAAACAGCTGGTACCCATAAAGGACAGACTGGACTTACCTTTCGCTTTTCTATTTAAAGATGAAAAGACATCATTTTGAAAAATAGATGATGGTCCAATGTTTTAAAAATCTGAAAATTCTGGTTTTAATGACAATAAACAAAAAAAAAACCTAAATTAAAGTACAACCCTTTGTATTCTGTAATTCTTAGGTATGCCTATTGTTATAGAATTAAAAAAAAATAGACACTTAAAAATACAAAAAAGAAAACCCACATCTTATTCTGGAATCAAAGGGTCCTACTTGTATATAAAACACAAGTTTTGTTAGCTATCAAAGAGTATGAAAGTCCATTAGCTATTCACAAAATACTTTGAAAGAACCTAGAGACATGAAAAAAGTGGCCTATCTAACACCAGTATTTTTATATTGGTATAACTTTATTTTGTGCTAATCTATTTGAATAATTTGACTGTTTTGAGTTTTTAAGGATTTAGCTAACAAAGAATGCTGTGAAAGGACAACAGGAAATGTTCGTACCTGTTCTCTATCAATCAGATCAATGATCCTTAGACTGTAGATTTCGTCATCAGACAACATATATGCTTGGGCCACCTTCAAAGCATCTTCCAAAGAAGACGGCACATCCTGTTTGAGAATGTATCTGACTACCCTCTGAAATAGAGACAATACATACATTTTTTTGTTGTGAAATTCCACAGAGAACCCAGAAATCATTGTTCATAAGGCTAGGTGCTCATCAATTAAAATAACACAGCAAAAACCTAAGCTGTATGAAAAATTAAAACATGATTTTATGTTCTGAATTTTATGACAGTCCTGTCTACCTTATTTTTTTCACCTCTAGCTTTACTAGGGTTAAAAAGGACAAATAAAGAGTGTATATATTTAGGGTGTACCGCAGGATGATTTGATAGACTCCTTTAACTTCTTAACTTTTATTTGTCATCTTTACCACTCTTAATAAACAATGGGACACCTACTAACATTCTCTAACAAGAGGAAAGTAGTGGAGAATTTTAACTACTATACTTACCATTATTTCCTTGTTCAATAGATTGACCTCTCGTATTCCATAGCCTCTTAAAAGCTTTTTCATCTCCATTAGTTTGTAACTTTCCTGTAATAACTTGACTCTAAAAGTAAATTTGTTGATATTAACATGGATTGTCTTTTTTTATGATATACTGAGGGACACAGTAAGGGATAGAAAACCATAAATGAATGTCAAATGAAAACATAAGGTTTATCTGACACCAAAAAAATGGTTTGGGAGACCCTAATCTTACTTGGGATGATCCATTTCTAAGTGCTGTTTCACCAGCTGCTCCACAGCTGTGCTCCAGGGAACCACGGCTGCATACATGATCTTAAGCACAGCATCGAATATGAGCTACAGAAACACACACATGAAAACACACACACACATGCTGAAAATGAATGACCCTCAGATTTATGTTTCATGCAAATTAATGACACTGTCATTATCCACAGCAGAGGGTAGTTTGTAAAACATTCCATCTTCTGACTGCAAAGGTATATATTTCTTCTAATTTTCACATATAAAGATCAATTATATTATTTACAAAAACTCAGAAAAGTACTTTCTCTACTGAAAATTAAGTCATATAGTTCTATAACCTTCTACAGTCCCAATGTTTAAAAGTATTTTCAGGATTTTATTCATATTTTATAATGGTAACTAATAACAGTATTAAGTAAAAATAAAAGCATATTATAACATATTAAAAAAATGTCTCCATGTTTGTATAATCATAGAAAAGCCTAGAAATATATGCATCCAACTGTCCATGGTAGTTCTAGGAGTTGGAATGAGAAAACTTTGGCTTTTTATTCTCCATAACTAAAGGAAATAGAATTATCATCACATATTACTTCCTTTTTACTCCTTTGTCATCCTTCACAAATTCTCCTTAGCAAATATATGTTGCTCTTCTGATTAGAAAAAAAGTGTTGAGAAATATGTAATGCTCTAAAGGAAAATCTACATGGTCACTACTTACATCTGTGTCAGATAAACATCCTATTACTGCCATGGCTTTTGCTTCCCATGCTGTTTCAAAGAGTGATGTGGACTTTGAGCTACACCTCTTCAATAAATCCTAAAAAGGGATAAAAATGTATTTTTTAAACTTATAACCCTCCTTAAAAATAAAGTAAAAACACAGATATATGGATAAAAAGCTTTTATGGATGTGTAAATAAACAAAACCTCTACTTAAGCCATGAATGTTGACCAATGGTCAAAAAATGTAAACCTGTCAATACTTTGGCCTTCAGTTTTATATGGTGCAGGAAACTTAAGGAAACATTCTCGAAGAATCTACAAATAAGGTTACTGCAGCTTATTATTTTATTTGCAGCTTATGAGTTTGTTTAGCTTATTAAACAAAAAATCACTATTAATATTTATTGAGCTCATGTTCCTAGTCACAATAACCATTTGGAGAAAGTCCTAATATTATCCCATTTTGCTTAAGTTACCAGTTAGTTAGCAGCAGACTTACCCCACATTCTTAACTAATACAATATGCTGTGTAAATCCTAACGGTAAAGCATGACATTTCTTTAAGAATTCAACATTTAATATAATGATACACTGCATATGTCCAAGAAAAGACTAAAGAAAAAGTTACCTCTATGTAGAGCAGGAGAAGTTCCTCCTCTTGCAAGTCATGTTCCTTCATGTAAACACTTATAAACTTCTCTAAGATGGAAGGAATGAGCTCTGGGGCCAGCACCTTATCAAACATTCGGAACACGATGGTGGCTGTATCCTCCTGGATGCCAAAAGAAAGACAGCATGAATACAAACATGAGTCATACCAGCTATGATATAAAAAAAATTCTGATAATTCTAGACTTACCTTCTCAAAATCAGAGAGGGTCAACTTACAGTTGTATTTCCTGTGCAATGTGACCAATTCCTGCAGGTTATTTACCAAAGTCCTTAACTGACACACTTCCTCAGTGTTTTGATAATCCTTCTGAAACAGTGTTAAAGTTGTTAAGGATATGAAATAAAAGTGTGAAAGCCAATATACAAAAAGAATTATTTCAGATAAAATAAGAAATTGCATAAGAGGAAATCTGCAACTTATACCTTTACATTTTGTAGATTTTTCATGAAAATTAACTAGTACAAATAAACAGATATGAATCAAAAAGAAATCTGAAAGTAATTTTCTTTCTTAAAAAAATAAAAAATCTATTACTGTAATATTTCTGTACTTGGGTACACAAGCATCACTTAGATGGCCCTCAATGTCCCATACACAGAGATCATAACCAGATATAAAGCTGTAACACTTCCCAAAGTTATATACAAGGAACTCTAGAATTTTCAATATTGATAAAGGCATTTAACAGGGAAAAGACAAAGTTGTGTATTATAGTAAGAGGAAAAGCCCTTTTGTGGAAAAATAAAATGATCGACATACATTATACACTATAATATATATTAATTACATCACTGTACCGCTCAAGACTTCTAGAAAGTAATTTCCTTTTTTTAAATTTACAGTGTACGATCAGTAAGTATAATTAGTAACAAGGATCTCCTATATCAGAAAGTAGGAGACTTACTACTTATTTTTAGGCTCAAGAAACTTAAGGAATAAGCAGTTACACATTGCACAGCATAAGGTCATGCCTTTGGTACTTAAGTACTTAAAACTTAAGAGTTGAGGTTATACCGAGATGTCTCATATGTTAGTTTATAAACTAAATTATGGCACCCTAAGAAACTTTTTTAAAATACAAGAGTGTATTTTTTATTCAATATAATGAACACTTTCTAGTTTTGAGAAACCTAAAGGGAAAAAGAAATTGAGAAGCCAAATAATAAATTCAGCTCATTAACTAATGTCAAATATAAAATCAGTATTTCTGATCTTATTTTCCTTTCTAGTATTGTTATTTTCTTGAACAGTCACAAAGTCCTAGACTTTTCTCAATTCAATCTTCTAAAAAATTCATTTGTACTTAAGCCATAATAATGGCTGTTAAAATGTCTAAGAGATGCAATCATAACTAGGAGTGGCTTGCTAGTTTAAAAGAAGTAAACCTTGCATCCATCCCACCGGTTCCTGGACTTACCATTGGAATGAAGAAGGAGATATCTAAGTTGGCCTGTGCTTTCAGTAAAACAACAAATTTGACTGGATCTATACTGTTAGAACTCAACCAAGAATTAGGAGAAGTGCAAGTTGCAGCGCTCCAAAATCTTACAACTAGAGACTATCTACTATTAAAAGAACATATGGGATGTGAACAGTTCCCAGGAATGGGTTGTTTTAATTTGTCTGATTTCTCTCAGACTGTTCAAGTACAGTTGGACAATATCCATCATACCATAGACAAATTTTCACAAAGGCCT